AGATTAAAATGTATTAAGCTCTTAATTTAAGTCAAAAATTTCTCGGAACCTGATTTTCCTAGAAACACTCCCATATAGTATTTAATTATGGTACGTTATTATATAAAAGGTAAGGTATGATAAATTATTTATAGAAACATACCAATATAGCGAATAAGATAGCAATATTTGTTGTTTTAATAAAATATTCTAATAAAGTAATTTGCATAACGATATGTATCAGATAATACAATTAATTATAATTTCAAGCGTTATTGAATAATAAATTTAAGGTATTTACAAATTAAAAAAAAAATAATAAAAATATTTAAGTATAATATCTATCTGATCGCTAAAAATTAAGTCTAGTAAATATTTAAGTTTATGTTTGTACTGTATAAATAAAGTTGCAGGTACGTTTTTTAAATAAATTGCAATAGGAATATCGATAGTATTTATATATATACATACAGAGTTAAAATACGGTATGATTAGTAAAAAATATTCGTACTGCAAAAATTTTATAGTGCCGTACCCAAATGACGAAATCGTAACGTAACCATTTAGGGGATCTTTCTCATAACCGCATATTTTTGAAAATCATTTCCTATTTTGAGTCATGTGATTCCCGAATAACGAATCAACAATTATAACAAACAATACATTATTTTTTTATGTATTTCCACAACAACTCCAACTTTTTAGAACAAATTTATGAATTAAGCATATATTTAAATAAACGGTAAACACCACAGTTCGTCCAGATATTAATTCTTAGAATGGTGGAATGAAAGAAAAGAAAATTTATATATTAACTGCTTTAGAACGAAAATATTAGCATCATCTGTTTCAAGTGAAAGGCTTTTTAGTGAAGCAGTTTCATGTAAACGAACGCGTCGCGATTTGGATTAAATTTATTTAGTAAAATGTTATTTGTCAAACGAAATAGTGAATAAATGATAGTTTAAAGAGGAATGTAAAAATTTATTTGATAATTAAGCTGATTTCAAATAAAATAATCCTTACTTTAAATAATTAAGATTAATCGCCGGTTAATCGAATATGGTTAACCGGTTAAAATTTTTAATGACGGTTCCAATCACTAATTTGCATCATCACGTGTTAACATTTTTTTCCTTCCCTTTAAACTGAAATTACCTTGGATAAGTACAATGCTTATGTATTTTCGTTTATTTACACTCGAATGAAGCTTTTATTATTAAAGGTGGATTAAGTTAAATTACCTTTGAGAATCAGCATTTTTTAATTGCACAACGTATTTTATCACACGTTTTCGTTTTTTTTTTAATTTTAATGAGTATCTAATATTTACCGGAATTGTTTAATGCTTTTAATTTTTCGAAATTGTTAACGGGAAATCATCAAAGCAATTATATGACAAACAATTCGATTTATGAACCGTCGACGCAAAGCGAAAGACAATATAAAATTTTTTGTTGTTAAGACTTCCCAAATACGGTGAATAATGAATGACAAAGTGAAATAATTCAATATTCATTTTACCATTCAATAACGAAATAAAACAAATAAATAAATGCAGATACAATAATCATACTGCACCGAGTTACTACAAACTGTTCAACAATATAATAAATAATAATTTTATTATTCTCTTTATAAAATGACGAAAATCACATTTATTAGACTAAATTTAATAAAACGAAAGTAATGATTACTAAACAATCTTCTTGCTACATAAATTATTATTTAGTTATTAAGATAAAAATAACAGCGCATATATCATATGTGGTGAATTGCAACGACTAATTCGCCATTTCTATTCAACATCATTTCTTCGGATTTCATCCATTTCTTTTTGGAATCCCTGGACAGTCTTGATGAATGGCCTACGGTAAAGTCCTGTCCTTGACTTTTGGACAACGTTTGCGCGGTTTGAAGGACATTGTGGATTTAACGACCGTTTAAATCATATTCAACAAAATCATCTGCACAAAGGGGAAATTGCCTTTCCTGATGAAAATTTGTCCATATATTGCGTCTTTCTTCCGAATTGAATTTGGGGTAATGGAAGAACATATTAATTCGTGAGCAGAACGCATCATCAAATGACGTGACGCGATTTGTCGTCAAGAAGAGAATGCCTGGATAACGAACAAAAAAAAGGCGACTTAATTTCTCTAATATAGAAACAATAATGAAAGGGATGACAAACGCGAAGCTTTCTAACCTCGATAATATTCCAAGCGACTTAAAAATACACCAACCATCGCGTTACGTTTTATATCAGTCGTGTTACGTTTTTCAAGGTAAATATCAGCTTCATCAAGTAGGAGGACTGCCTTCCACGTACATGATATATCTAGAAGTTTGACCAATTGCTGATCCAGTCTGCGTACAAGGAATATGTAGCGATGAAGAAAAGAATCAGTACCATGAAAACTTATAATTCAGTATGTATTTATAACAAAATATGTACATACTCGGCAGGTTCCATCCCAAGTTCGTGTATGCTGAGCATCATCCATAATGACCTTTTGAGAAATTCGGCTACACGTTCAGCTGTTAATGTTTTCCCAGTTCCAATTGGCCCGTAGCATAGAAAGATACAGCCATTGCCTTTATTGGTGATGGGATCGAGAGGTTTTGCGTAAGAAGTAACTACACCTCCATTGGACTCTGTGGGTACAAAATGCTGTCTTACTAACCCCTCAAGGATTTCTTTTCTATCATCGGACATCACCAGATGACTGAACGCCTCCTTGTCAAAACTAATCTCCGAAAATTTCAAGATCTCGAATTGACCCCATTCCTTTAATGCAAAGCTGAACCCGTATACTATCGCAGGTGCGAATAGGTAATTAGCTTTCTGATGAATTTATTCCTCATTGAGATAGACACCTTTTTCTCCGAGTAACTCAATGTCACATTTGTTTGGTGGTAGAGCATTTCCCATCTTATAGTTGGGATTCATGATTGAAAAACTTTCGAGATTAATCATGACACGACCATTGGCTCTAATCTTCTCCAACTGCATGCAATTGTTAATCGTTCGCCAGCGTAATAACGGGCCCTCATAATTCATAAAGTTGCTTCCTAAGGCAAAGTCGAAAAAACGTTTTCCATTTTCAATAATAGCGTTCTCGAGGAATGCGATTGTTTTAGAAAATTTGAATGGAACGACGGGTAAATCAGAGAAGCCACCTCCAATGAAGCATTTGGCCTTACGCGTTACAAAGCAACGCTTAAATCCTTTACCGTCGCAGTCGATGACCTTAATTTTTATAGTAAACACCCTTTTAAATTCATTTCCAAAAAATTCCAGTTGGTCTTCTGTCGAGGAAATGATACCACCGATTGATGACCTGACATATCACATCGACTATGAACAATGGTTTTCGAATGCAAGGCATTTTAGCTTAATCTGAAAGCAAATAATGAAAAAAAATATATATATACATGGTGATCAAAAATATAATTACTTACTACCATTACCATACGTCAAAATTCAGGGTATAAAATACCCATAACATGTCATATGTTACAGTCCCCGGCGAAAAGAATGGCGGTTTAAATACCGCATCTATTTTAGGCCGAAACGTAAACCGCGTTTCCGATATGGGCCGTTGTTTATATGACCAAATTAGGCGCTGGAATCATAATATAAAAGGTAAGTTAAAAAAAATTATGTTTGTTTTTGTTTTTGTTGTGA